ATAGAGATGACTGACTAAAAAGGCAATTTTATACAAAAAAGAAATTTCAGTATCATAAAAATGTCATGATTGTCATGTTACAATATTACTTTAATTTCTAATTTTCTGTGTAAAATACATAACTGTTGTTTGTAAAAATGCTAAAGAGATTCAAATGATAAAACATCCATACTTGGTAGGAAATAATGGTTCTACTTTGTATACTATTAAGCTTGCTGCTCTCAGTACAATGTAATGTCATTAAACACCTCATCTGGATGTTTACCAACTCAGGTTTGGAGACCAAAAACTAGAAAGATAGATGGGCTTGGAGAACACCCAATATTTTGGCCCCAGGACATAAGAGAACCTCTGCTGCTACATCTTGTAACTCAGTGAGGCCCTGATCTTCTGACCAAGGAGATGGTGGGATCAGAGAGGAAAGTCATCATGGGTGTGTGGTGTGCCTAAGGAGAATCACCAGGAGGGAATGTTTCCTGAGCTCTCACACAGAGCATCTTGGTCGAGCAATGGTCCTGACTCATCTAGACAGCTGACCCTGATACAAGAATTAGGCGGTACTGTGCATGGTTCCAAGGTGATTCCTGAGGAGACTTCACAGACCGTGATGGATAGCAAATATTAATTTAATCAATACAGGCCTTACTTTAACTTGAATATCCTGCAGAAAAGTAGAACTACAAGAGATATAAAAGAATACCATGGTAATATGCTGGTTATAAATCACTAATCACTAATACCTTCTGACAATTTCCAGCTACACCAGACACTGACTACTGTTATGGATTAATGAGCTGCGCAGGGTTAAACTGCTGGATACAGGGACCTAATATCCTTGGACTGGAAATCTTCAGCCTAAATAGTAAACTCACTTAGAATAAAAATCCTTCAAGAATGAGGTCTCCTGCAGAGTCCTCCAAACACAGATCCTCCAACTTCAACTGATCACCCATCGCTTGCAACTACAGAGCATAAAAGGGGGTGACGTGGGGAGGGTCTGAAGCTGGAGATCCATCTCATGTGTGGGGCTGGTGCCCAATGTGAGCCTAGTGAACAGCTGCTCCAGTCTAGAGAACACCCGTAGGTAGCCATGCAGGCAGGTTGCTAGGCAGTGGGTGTTGCTTGATGTGAGGCTGCTGGATTTATGAACAAATGTATAAATAAACACTGCTATGGTTGAGTGGTTCGTTTCCTCCCATCTGAACGTCAGCCACCTTGGATTCCAGGAAGAGCAGTGCCTCACAGACCAGCCTATGCTGAGGTCTCCCCCAGGTGAGAGCTTTGACCCCATGACTGCAACTGCAGGTGCCTGGTGGATACAGAGAATTTAGGAACTGTACACAGGGGAATATTACTTTGCCATAAGAGAGAGTAAATATGAGTAAGCTGTAGGAAAATGGATGCACCTTGGGATCAAAATGCTAATTTAGTGAATCAGACACTGGAGGTTAAATGCCACAAGGTTTCTCCTCCATGAAAGATTTAAAGTCTAAATAATTTAGGAGCAAAATAAAAGATGATAGGAAAGAGGGAGAAAGATTTTGTGGAGATTAGAAGGGGACTGGTGTATGGGTCAAGATAGGAGGGAAAGGAAAGAAGAAATAAAATCAGGTGCTCCAGAGAGCGTTTAAAGAGAAGCAAAGCGAGGCTGCCCTAAATGGGAGGGATCTCTCATGAGGGAGCAGTTGCTCCCTCCAGCCATGACAGCTTTCCCAGGACCCCACAGAACCAGCCTGTGACAGCCACCACCCAAACCACGACCTGACCAGCATGACCAATGGCTGCCACCTCTTCCAGCTCCCAACCTTTGCCCCTGTTGTGGCAGCCAAGGGTCTGGGAGGCCAGGATTCTCCTGTGAAGAGACTCCTGCTTCCCTGCTTCATCTCTTCACCCTGGCAGGAACGTGAGAGGGTAAGGGAGGCTGACTCAGAACCAAAACTCTCTCCAGCACAGAACGAGGAACTCAGAAGACAGAAGTGTAGTAGAGCAGGAGTCTTACTGATAGTACTGCACAGTTGGAGGAGGACTGTCGCCCTGCAAGTGAGCTGTACAGCAGGAAGAAGCCAATGTGAGCTTCTCAGCAGGGCTTCTTTACCTTGCCCATAATTACAGGAGCAAGCTGATCTTCCAACAGTAACGATTTTATCGATTGGTCCAATCAGGGTCTGCACTTTTGTTTCTGGGAAGGGTACAAGGTTAGTTAGGGATTTCTTAAACACGAGTAACATTCTTAAAAGGACATGGCAGGGCACATTTTCTCTAGCACATGGTACACAGAGACACACGTAATGTTTTTAACATTGTCAGCCATAGATGAACACATGATGATCCATGGTCAGCCATCCGACCTTGCCCTGGGTCCTTGCTTACCTGCACCCTGCACCCCATTGTAGTCTGTCCCTACACCCCTGCTGTCAGCGCCTTTAAGACAGAGCTTGAGTGCTTCATCTGTGCTTCCCAAAGTGGCCATGATGACTGAGCTCTTCTGCCCTTCACCACTAGTCATCTCCTTGGCTGGCATTTTAGGACAGATGGCTGAGCCTGGCCTGTTGTGCAGCTTTTGCCCCCCAATTCTGGTGACAGTTTTAGTGGGAGGATGCTCTTAGAAAGCAGCGATTCTCAAGGGGCAGTAGGAGTGGAAGAGTTTGACCCTGCAAGGGACACAATCTTTTTTGTTGTCATAACCACAGAGACCACAACAGGGACATAGGACAACTGAACTCCTGGACCCTCAGCCTGTTACTAATTAAAAGCGTGATTTGTGTTGTTTTCTGAGGCAGTCAGGGAAATAAAAGCATTTTTTGCTTATCAGCAGTGACTTCGCTTGGGTCTACAGATGCTCAGTGAGGAACTAAAAGCAGAGTGGTATGTGGCCTTCATTTATTACCTCAAATCCTGGGATGGAGCCCTTGTTTCATCTTCATATAGCTATGGTGATTATTTAGGGAAGGTCTGTTTAAAGGTTGGCAAATTTAGGTTGATTAGGACTATTATTAGTAGTATTTTTGTGGTGCTCAGGACTGAATCCAGAGCCTTTATATTAAACTACATCCTAGTCCTATGCCTATGTATTGATTTAGGGTCTTGCTAAGTGTCCCAGGCTGGGCTCAAACTTTACTCCTGTAGTCTCTGGAGACCCTAGATTTACAGAGCCCATCTAATTTCTCTTTTAAGACTGAGGACACTACAGAGGCTGAGGAGGAATGCTGTGAGTTCAAGACCAACCTGGGTTACGTAATAAGTTCAAGGCCAGCCTGAACTGCATAGTAAGGCCCTGTCTCAAAAAGAAAAACGAAATGAAAAGAAAAGAAAAGAAAAGACAAGAAAAGACAAGGATTGATGACACCAAGATACAAAATTTACAAGTATTTTCAGGTTCAGACATCTTTAGTCATTGCCCTGAACCCATGGTCACCTTGGATTTCAGCACAGCCTTCCATGAGACTGAGACTGCCCCAAGTCAAAACAAGCACACCATAGACTAAATTACTCAGAGCTATCCCCTAAAACCAGAAGTGAGCTAACAGTCAAACAAAACCTAGCCCATTTCAGCTAATCTATAAATGCTACCTGTTTTTCTATTAACTTGCTGATCTAATCCTTCTCATAAGAGCTGTGTTCTTCAGTCCTCAAGCTGAGGTCACTTTGTCTTAGATGGGGGTCTGAGGAGTTCCACAAAGGGAAGATGGGGACCTCAACTTATCCTGTTTCTTGTTATAGCAAAACAAAACAAAACAAAACAAAACAAAACAAAGCAAAGCAAAACAAAACAAAACACAACTCCAGGACGCATCAGTGAAAGCTACAGGAAAGTTGATCTGGCAGAAGCCAGAAGGAACAGTGGCACTCACACTGTGCGACCTTCTTTGGTGGTATCATGGATGTTTTCTCGGAGCTATCCCTTGTGATAGAGGTTCTAAGACTTTTTGCTCCCTAACATTCTTTGAATCTATTTATTCATTTTGAACACAGGGTGATGCTGCCTTTTATCATATTAACTAGGTTAGTTGATGGACTCACAGTATCTTTAGGAGATTTGGGTGTGATGAGTGTGGATGAAAAAACCCCCAAAACCCTAGGGAGTGAAAACTGGGAGTACCGATGTGGACTGTGTCAGGCAACTTGGTTGTGTCCTGAAGTTGCAGGTTCCTTAAAAACACAGCCTTGTTACCTCTCTACCCGTCTTTATTCCTCCTGTCTTATCCTACCTTTTCTATGTCTCTTAATTTCTAACTTGACTTCTGCCTGTGCCTCCCGGACACATCCTGAAATCAGGAGTCAAGAACCTCCTCCTGAGTGGAAGCATCATCTCTTTGAGGGGACCTCTTTGGACTTCATCCATTGACAATAAACTGGGGAGGAGGAAGAGTTGTACATTACTGGGATTTAGGTAAAAACCAGGTATGCTCAACTTCCTACAATTATGGTATTTGTAACAAGTAAAAACACAGGTCCTAACAAGATAGTAAGATGAGGTAATAGGATTCCCAGTTACCTGAAATTCAACTTTGCATTTTATCTGGTGATTTTACCTAGAGTGTGTTACCAGGCAAAAGTATCGAGTGCAGAAGTTGAGAAACCCTGCTAAACAGTGGTGGTCTTAAAGTCCTAGTTTACATCACAACCTTCTCCAAGGCTTGTGAGGTACAGATTTTGACCTACTATTAGACTGCAACATTTTCTCCTTTCTTCTGTTTTTTGTGCTTGTTGCTGGGGCTTCAGCCCATGCCCTCACCATGGCGTGTAAGTGCTCTACCACTGAGTCACATCTTTGCATCCCTTATCCCCGTTTCTGATTCAGGAGTTCTGGGGAGATTCAGTTTCCCTGCGGACTGCTACTGCTGGTTTCAGGCCTCCCGCGAGAACTGCGTCCTAGAACACTGGGCAGGGGCCATCACCCCCTGCGTGGAGACATCTCCGTGACAGCTCCCAACTGGGGGGACTTCCGCATCCGGACCACCGGCTTGTGAGTACGTCCAGGTTCCTCCAGGCGCCTCGGAGGTCTCTGCATCTCCCTGGCAACCCAGGATGGGGGCGTGGCCTTGAGGGGGCGTGGCAAGAAAGGCGGGCTCAGACGCAGATAGTTTTCTCTTGATGAAGGCTGCGAGGCCGCTACACCTCAGGCCAGCGTATTGTCCCAGCTCGGCGCAGCCGCTGGTGGCATCTGGCGCATCCCCGCTGGGTTAAGGTTCAGCCTGCTCTGGTATGCGTTAGCCAGCTTGTGCCGCAAGGAAGCCCCCGACAGGCACCGGGACTTGAAGTTGCGTTTTTGCAACGGCGCCCAAGGCCTTCACCCTCAGTGAGGCACGCGGACAGTAGGTGGACAGGACCGGGCATAGACACTAGGCCGCGAGGCGCCCAGGTTTCAAGGCCGCGTGGGGGCTCTAAGGTCGCACGCCTGGGGGCGGGGCTGAGGCAGGGTTGGGTGGAGCTGGGCGGGGCCATCTGGCGGGCTGGAGGCGTGGCTGAACTGAAGAGGGATGCGCTATAGGCGTTGTCACGGAGAGGTGGGCGGGGCTGTAGGGGTGGGGCGGAGCTAGGACAGCGGGGCGGGGCTGCCACGCTTGGCAGAGTTGGTAGGGAGCTGATGTCCTGGAGCAGCGGGATCCGGACTGTGGCCTGGCCGGCCTCTTTGTTGTTTGCTTGCTGCTTTGGGTGCGGGGATGTAGGGAGCAAGGTGCCCCCACATCTCACAGAGTCCTTTTTAGAGCCCCTTTACACCTGACTTAGCTTACGCTATTTATAACTACAAAATGCGTTTAAAAATAACTTTCCATTTTGAAATATTTTCAGCATTTGAAAAAAGTTGCTAGTGGCACAAAAAATTCCCACAGTGCGTGGTTCCCAGCCTCCCCGGGGAGCGTTAGGGTCTCCAGGAGCGAAGAGCAGGCAGGAGCTGCTCCCTTCCTGCGCTCACCCGACCCGCATCTGGAAGGGAGCAGGAGGCGGTAGCCAGGAAGCGCAGGCACCTGAGCCACCGGCCTCTCCCTGCCTCTCAGGCAACCATCTAGACTCCATGCCTTTACTTTTTTCTTTTTTGAGCAGTAAGCTCCATCCAGCCCCTTTATTATTTTTTTGAGGCAAGGTTTCATTTAGGCGTGCAGCTGCACAGGTAAGTCTTGAACTTGCGCTCCTCCTGCCTCAGCCTCCCTGTGTGTTGTGGGCATAGGCGTGTGCCATCCCGCCAAGCCTGGCTTTACTGTTTTCATTCCTCTTCCCCGTGGGTGGTACCATCCTGCAGGGCATTTTAGGCCCTTGTCTCTGTCCCTGCTTTGGTGTCTTCACTCTGATGTGTGTAGTACAATTAGAGCAAGCTTATTGAAAGTGTAAACCCGATGGTCCTCTGCTTCTAAGGATCGAGTTAGCCTGCAGAGGCCTCACACACCACCTGGGTTGAGATGTGTGTCAGAGACCATTCCTCTCCATGGTATCTCCTGGTCAGGTGGTGTCTTCCCTTTACCTCGGCTACACACCTTGAGGTTGGGGAGCTGCTGGTTGGCTGGGGGAGTGGCCCCCTGACCATCTTCCTGGTGGGTGATGGATGAGCAGAGGCTGGAGGCTTTAGAGTGACCCTGGTTTGTCCCTTTTGAGAAGGGGGACTCTTGGGGCCACCTTACCTCCACAGATTCTGCACTCAAGTCCTAGGTCTCTATAGTCAGGTTTCAAGGTTGGGGATCGGTGGCCCTGAAGTGACGCTGCCAAGAAAGAGTCCCTGGGAGATGGGAAGAGCAGAGACCCTTGATGTCTCATGTTAGGGCTGATCAGGAAGCAGAGCAGGGAGATGAGGATGATGGCGTGGGGTTCCTTTCAGCCTTCACAGGAGGGTTTGACTCTGCCAGCATCCTGGTTGGACTGTGGACAGGGTCCATTAGGCCTGGGCTCCACTGAGCAGGAGCTGGGCATTGGAGGGGGTGATCTACATGCTCTCTTTGTGCACGGGTGTTGTGTGACTGGTCTGAAGCAGACATGATACCAAGTGACTAGCCTGGGGTAGAGGGTTCTGAGTGACTGCAGAGGGGACCTGGGGTTGTAGTGGACACAGGCTGTGTGACGGCCAGACTACAGGCTGGGAGAGGCTTCACTGACATGAGAGTAGAAGTGTGTCGATGTCCGCTCCCGGCCGGCAGGAAGGACACACGACAAAGTCTGGTAGTGGACAACCTTTTCTTTTTATTTTCCTTCTCCGTACAGCCTGCCCTGGGATCGCTCCCAGCCGAAGCCTCCTCTGGTCCGCTCCCCGCGGCTCCTTCCGGGCTTCGCTCCGAAGCCTCTACCGGTCCGCTCTCTGCGGCTCCTTCTGGGCTTCTACTTCCGGGCTTCTACCTGGCTTCTTCTTCCGCCCAGGGGTGGCACCGGTATATATACGGGTACAGTGTCCAATCATGTTAAAGTAAGCAAGGCAAGCTGATTGGCTAACATCATCAGTTGCCAGGCAGACTATATTGTTGAGCGGGTTGTTTACGCGGTAAGCAGGAAACTAACATATTCGATGGGAGGGGTAATCTACCTCAGGCTTTGCTCTTTACCACAGGCCGCACGTCCGTCGCGCAAGGCGAGCTATCACAGACGCGGCTCCCAACATCTCCCCCTATTTTATTTTTTATGAATGTGCGCATCGTAGCCCTTCCTGGACTGGGTGCAGAGGCTTATGCCCTATGTGTAGGTCCACCGTAGGTCCTTGGCTTAGACCCTGGTTGGCCATGCCATGGTCTGCCAAGGCCCTGAGGCCCTCGTCCTTTTTCTAGGGCCAGGCACAAACTGGACGGAACCTGGATGCACACAAGCTTGCACTCATTTCCTCTCCGTAAAGAAATCCCCTCGGAGAGAAATTTAGACCTGGGCAGCATCTAACAGTCCAGCGGCTTACGTGCAGGATGGGGTAGGGCCTGGCTTAGGTCGAGTCGTGCTGGGGAGGCACGCTCTTACCCGTCATTGACTCACCTACCCTGCTGTGTATTGTCACCTTATGGAGGAGAATGAGGGATGCCCGCCATATCTAGACTCGGTCGTGGGCCAATTGAGCAAGCCATGCATATGCCTGAGGATCTTCTTGTCCATTTCGGGCTACCGCTATTTCTATTCATCTTATTGGTTGGTCTGTGATGGATCTCCAGTAGGGCAGGTCTGATCTTCAGTCGAGGGCTTTGTTGCCCGTGTCAGTCTCTCCGGTATCCACAGTGGTTCTCGTCCCGGTTCCTGTGGGAAAACACAAACCGCGCCTCGGTTCCAGCTGACCACTGGATCCGGGCCCATCCATTGTCCTGTCAGGACATCTTTCCACTTCACCCACCCTTTATGGTTGGGGGAAGGGTTGCAGTGCTCCACAGCTGGGGAGCGATTATCATTATTTAAATTTAAAAAATTGTGTGTGAATAGTGCCATGGATAATCGTGCCTTTGGGGCCAGGCCTTGGCCTACTCCCCCTTTTTGTTTTTGTAAAATTTCTTTGAGGCTTCTATGAGCCCTCTCAATGATTCCTTGACCTTGGGGATTGTATGGGATACCATGTTTTAATTGAACCTCCATCATTTTGCAGAACTCATTGAAGGCTTTGCCTATATAGGCTGGTCCATTATCAGTTTTTAATATTTTTGGTTTGCCCCATGCGGCCCAAGCTGCCAGGCAATGATTGATCACATTAGACACTTTTTCACCTGTTTCTGCTGTTGCGAATATGACGTGAGAACAGGTGTCTGTGGAAACATGAACATATTTAAGAGTCCCAAACTCCTGTATATGTGTGATGTCCATCTGCCAAACATCACCAGGGATCAAACCTCGAGGGTTTACTCCCATCGGTATGGCAGGTTTGTATGTGGCACAGGAGTCACATAGTCGCACGATATCTCGTGCATCTGCTCTAGAAACATGGAAATGGTTTGCTAGTGTCCTGGCATTAACATGAAATTTATCATGGAAGGCACGGGCTCGCTCGATTGGTGTTAGTAAGGTAAAAATCCATAACGGGCGAGTGGCAGTGTCAGCAGCCGCATTCCCCTGTGCCATGGGCCCTGGCAGGGATGTATGTGCTCTTATGTGGGTGGTGAAGACCTTATGGTGTCTGTTCTGAAGCAATGTCTGGATAGACAGGAACAGTCCAGCCACTGTGGAAGTGGATCTAATTAAACTGGCAGTCTCAAGCACTTGCATAGCATTGACCACATACCTAGAATCGGAGACAATGTTAATGGCTTCTGAGAACCGTTCAAGAATCATTTTAACGATCTGCAGTTCTACCACCTGAGGCTGATCTGGTTTAAATTGTATGGTAACCGGGGGCTTGCCTAGGATCACATAGGCGCCTATCCCCGTCTTGGAGCCATCTGTGTATATTGTAGTTGCTGGGACTAATGGCTCAGAGGCAGTAACCTTTGGAAAAATTATAGGGTGCTGAGTGACAAATGACAAGATAGGGTCTTTAGGGTATTGATTGTTTATATCCCCATGGAAAACACATCTCAGAATGGCCCAGGTATCTATGCAGGCAGCCAGGGTCTTGATCTGGCTGGCGGTATAGGGTACTCGGATGGCTTGTGGTCCTGAGCCAAAATGTTGGACAGCTCTATCATGCGCTTCAAGGGCCAATGAAGCGACTGCCTCCGGGTAATGCTCTATGACTTTTGCAGGTGAGACCTTAGGGTGTATCCACAGTAGTGGTCCTTTCTGCCAAATCACCGCTGTAGGCTGTAGACTAGTCTGTAGCAAACAGACATCAAAGGGTCGCCCTGGTTCAATTCTGTGTAAGGTAGCCCCACCTAAGGCTTTTTCCACTCTCTGTAAGGCAGCTCTTGCCTCAGGAGTGAGCCTCCTGTGGGAGGCTATATCTGGGTCTCCCTTCAGAAGGTCGAACAGGGGTTTGAGATCTGAATTTGGTATATGTAAATATGGCCTAATCCAATTAATGTCTCCCAATAGCCTTTGCATGTCATTTAGGGTCCTAACGCCATCCGTCCTAATGGTGACCTTCTGTATAAGTCTGGAGGCGACACTGAGGTCCACACCTGCTGACCCAGGGGTGGCCCTTGTTGAAGGCTGCCACCCTGAGCTGTCCTGTCTCTGGGGCGGGGGCCCGCCTGTGAAGGGGGCCCCCTCTGGCCGTTTTTTGGCTCTCTAGCATCTTGTCCACAAATACGGTTGCCCTGAGCATCAAAGACCGACCTACACTCCTCAGCTTTGTGTGATCCCTTTTTGCATCGCCCACAAACATATGGTTCTTCATTCCTAGGGCGAGGCCTAGCATCTGCATTGTTTGGGCAATGACGTTTAATGTGTCCTGGCTCCCCGCAGGCAAAACACCCTTTAGCCTTACATTCCCCTTCTAACCCGCGAGGTCCCCTCTGCTGTACAGCCGCGGCCAGGAGAGCAGCCACTCCCGAGTTGGAGAGCGGCCCCCCTATCTCTCTGCATATCCTAATCCAGGCGTTGAGGTCCTTGTTCTTATGAGGAGCTATCGCTGCCTTGCACTCCTTTGTACATTGCTCAAAAATCAGCTGTCTTACCAGCGGTCGAGCCACTCCCGGATCAGAAAATATCTTATCGGCAGCATCTTGCATTCGGGCCACAAAGTCAACAAATGGCTCTGTGGTACCCTGAATTATTTTTGAAAGACACAAGGAGGCAGTTCCGGCACCACTTACCTGTTTCCAGGCGCGGAGCCCTATGGCATTGATTTGTTCATAGACAGCGCCGGGGAACTGGGTCTGGTCATCAGCGTGCCGACCTTCTCCCATAAGCATTTCCTTGTTCCACCCCCGGTTTCCCCGATTGGCGTTTCTCTCAGCCTGCTCTGCAGAGAACTCTGCGTACCAGGCTCGCCAATCCAGGTAACTGCCCGAGGGCAGACACGCCTTTGCCAGCTGAATCCAGTCCGCGGGGGTGAGGGGCCCAGAAGACAGATTCTCCAGCATGGCAATGGTGTAAGGCGCAGTCGGCCCAAAGGTTGTAACTGCATTTTTAAGTTCTCTAATCTGCTTTATCTCAAAAGGCTCCCATACATTGCGTCCCTGGCCCATAGCTACTTGTACAGGAAATATCCCGTAGGGGCCACTATCTATCCCAGGTGGATGTACCTCATGAGACAAGCGTCCCCCCTGCCAAAGCCGCCTGTAAAAATACCGACCCGCCGGCGGCGGAGCATAAGACAGCGGCCGTGATTGGGCGGAAAATGGGGGCCCGTGCATCACTTCCTGTTCTGGCGAAAGGGGAGGGAGCTCCCAGGCGGCCGCCTCGTGGCGAGGGATCGCCTCCGGAAACGGCCCCCAAGGTGGGGCGGAAGGCTTCGCCTCCCTCTCGCGCCGGGGAGCGCTCAGGAGCTCTCTACTCCTCCGCAGACCAGGTTGAGCAGAGCGCAATTCGCGGGGCAACGCTGGAAAAGAACCCTGCGACTCCTTATTGAGCGATTTAGGCTCCTGACAGCTGGTCTCTTTGGCCTCCTTGCCATTCAACTTTCCCTAGTCCTCGGAGTCAGACGACTCCGAGGCTAGAGCCCCGTCCTCCTCCTTAGCATCCTTGTTCCCCTTGACGGACCCCTCTCGGGAGCTCCCTGACTGGGCCTGCTCAGATACCCTGCGTACTTTTGTAAGCTCTTGAGAGCTTTCTCCACAACCACCCTCGCTCTTAGTGTTGCTACCTAACATGTTTCCCATCTTTTAATATGTTACTCACCGCGTGAGGCCCAAGGAATCCGCCACTTACGCGTGAGCCTGAGGGGAGTCTAAAAGCCCTGTAGGTGCGCGCCACCCAGAGCCCAGGCTTATCCCCAACTCACCTGTCTCGCAGCTCTGTACTGGAGCGTTGTCCACTTCCACGTCTCGGGGGTGATCAGTCCCCGTGCGGGCCTCCAAATGTCGATGTCCGCTCCCGGCCGGCAGGAAGGACACACGACAAAGTCTGGTAGTGGACAACCTTTTCTTTTTATTTTCCTTCTCCGTACAGCCTGCCCTGGGATCGCTCCCAGCCGAAGCCTCCTCTGGTCCGCTCCCCGCGGCTCCTTCTGGGCTTCTACTTCCGGGCTTCTACCTGGCTTCTTCTTCCGCCCAGGGGTGGCACCGGTATATATACGGGTACAGTGTCCAATCATGTTAAAGTAAGCAAGGAAAGCTGATTGGCTAACATCATCAGTTGCCAGGCAGACTATATTGTTGAGCGGGTTGTTTACGCGGTAAGCAGGAAACTAACATATTCGATGGGAGGGGTAATCTACCTCAGGCTTTGCTCTTTACCACAGGCCGCACGTCCGTCGCGCAAGGCGAGCTATCACAGACGCGGCTCCCAACAGAAGTGTGCATTCATTCAGTGATGCTCCAGTGGTGACAATGTCCAGTGGAGAGCCGTCCGTGGGCGCATACTGTGAGTTGTGTGCTGGGTGCATCCTCCCGCATGGCAGTGGGTCACTGTGGGTGGGTCACTGGTGGTGCTGAAGGGCTCACTTGTGTCATGCTGACAGCTGCACTACAGATGTTAATGTAACAGGTGCCATAATTCTCCAGAATGGCACTAGGATGCTAAATAATGGACAGTCATGCTCTTTTGGTACTTCTTCAGTGTTTGCTGTATTGCTGTGACCTACATAGCTTTTGAGGTTCTGGGGATAAGGACTCTGAGAGGATGAGAAAATAAAAGACAAAAGCTGGGATCAGGTGGAGCCCTTAGCCTCCTGAAAGGAGGAAAGGAACTGCCCCTTCACTGGAGGGGCGTTTATTTATACATTTAGCAACTTAGTGTCATGTGACACCCTGCTGCCTAGTGATCTGCATGTATGGCAATCTAATGTTCTGAGTTTTGGGGTCCAGAGTCTCCCGTTTCCGTGGCTCACCCAGCTGGCCGGCTCCTGTGTGCCCTTCTCCCATAGGACAGTGGGCCTGCACCACTGCCCCCCAGGGTCTGTGCTGCCTCCCTGTGCTAACTGTGCTGTTCAGGGGTAGGAGAGAGATTTGTACATGGCAGGGAGCTGGTGCTGCTGTCTCCTTGCTGGCTAGGGGACAGAGAAGGTGCGGGAAGTTTAGGGCCTCACAGGAGGCGCCAGCCTGCGTGGCCAGCCCTGTGCCCGCTCATGCCTTCCACTCCCATGTTGGAGATGAGAGCATGAACCCCAAGCTGCTGCACTGTTTCTGCATCCACAGTCCCCAGGGTGAAGCCCAGTGTGGGTGGGGGCAGGATGTGTGCTGTCCCCCAGTGTGGGGTTCCTTATGCACTGAGTGCTGCCGTTCCTGCTGCATGTTGCCTGGGGACTGAACCCCCGGGCATTTCCTGCCTCTGTCAGCTTGGGCCTCGGGCAGCTGACTTCTCTCAGATGAGTGAAAGGTGAGCAGGAGAGACAGAGACAGAGGCAGGTGAGCGCCCTGGCCCCTGTGGCCCAGCCTGGCACAGGACAGCCCACTGTCAATCGGGGCCATCTCCCGTCTGTGGACGTAAGTCAGGATGCCAGCCTCCCCAGGGAGCAGTCACTCTTGGAAGGGAGGAAGACCTTGAGAACTGTCCTGCAGGCCCTTGCTACAGGGTTGGTGCACATTTAGTGAGGACATTGGATCTGTTTTCTTTTCAGTGTTTATTTTCTTTAAAGAAGTCTTCCTTCTTCTGGGTGTAATTGATACTCAAAATGTTTGAAAGCTTTCCTTTTTCATGATTTGCTTTTAGTGTATTGAGGCCCCTGCTATCCACTGCCTTCTGCCATTTAAGTGGTGTCAGCTGGACTCACTGAGCACCTGAAGTGTGGTTTCCAGTTGCCTCAGCCCTGGTTGAGTGCTCAGGGTGCAGGTGCTCCTGGCTGCCATTCTGGGCCACTCTGGTGCCGAGCGTTCCTGTCACCTGGGAGGTTCTTTGTCTGCACCCGCCCAGAGCAGTGTTCCCCCCTGGGAACCCTGGGCAGTGTCTGGGAAATGTTTGATTTTCATAGCTCGGGTTGCAGAGGTGTTCCACTGTCATCTGGTGGGCAGAAGCCAGTGTGATGCTGAATATGCCATTGTGCAGAGTCCTGAGGGCTGCCCTGCCTCACGGGCCTGTGTTTCAGAGTGAGATTGGGGGTGTGGGCTTGGTTTTCCCTGAGCAGAGCTCGGTCAGGCAGCGGCTCCTGTATGGACCATGGCTCCCTTCTGCTCCATAGTGAGCCCTCAGCAGGAGATGCTCCCTCCAAGGTGGCGAGAGTGCTGTGGCTTTGCAGGTCAAGACACTACTTTTAAAAACTGACTTCATTGTCTTACAGCTTCCTGAGCTCTGAGTAAAGGCAGCCTCCTCATCCCGGCTCAGCATGGCCACCATGTCAAGGTAGGAGTGCTGGCACAAAATGCTGTAATCTGTGAGGCTGTTAGCTCTGGGTCCTGCACAGTGGTGTTCCCAGAGCAGGGCCCAGGAGGAAGTAGAGAGAAGAGGGAGGAGGAGGGGGAAAAGGAGAGAGAGGAGGAGGAGAGTAGGGAGGAAGGGAGAGGAGGAGTTGGAGAGCTTGGAGAAGGAGAGGGAGTGGGGAGGAGCAGAGAGTAGGGGAGGAGGTGGACGGGGGAGCAGGGAGGAGGAGGAAGAGTTGGAAGGAGGAGCGGGAGGAATAGGGGGAGCAGGGAGGAGGGAGGAGGTGGGAGAAGAGAGGGGGCCAGCAGGGCCTACACAGTACCTGTGTGTCTGCCTGATACAAACCCATCTGGCTGTCTTCATCCTTGCAGACAGAGACTCCGTGGTCACCTGGGGCCCTCTTGTGTGCCTGGCAGCTCGAGGTGGGCAAGGTTTGGACTTGTACCCAGGAAGGTGTTTGGGGGTCTGGGGACAGGGCACTTGGGCGGAGAGGCTGCCGGGTGGCCTGGTGGCTTGGGCTGGCCCTCTGACGAGGCTCTTGCCACTGTCTCTGAGAACCTGACCCTGGGCCTACAGCTCAGATGCCCAAGACCTCAGCCCCCAGCGGTCAGCATGTCAGGACCATGGGGTGGCTGGGTCTCTGCGCGGGCCCCCAGCGTGGGTCCACAGAGAACCCGGACAGTGGGGGTCCCGTGCCCGTTCCCCACGCTGTTCTCACTGTCACAGTTGCTCTATCCCAGCTGGGGGCTGATGGCTCCTGGCCGGGCCTCTGGGGCTTGTGCTGTCCTATGATCCCCGAGGAACAGTCCCCACGGGCCTGGGCTTCGGAGCCCTGTGCTGAGGGTCTTTCCCTGTGAACATTCGTCCCAGGGCAGGCACGCTCCCTTCTTCAACCTGCCCACGAGCCTCTCCTTGCCGCCCAGCCCTGTACCCCGCTGGTCAGGAGCAGTGTCCCCTCGGGTCCGTGGCCTATGTGCGCAGGGAGAGCCAGCGAGTCTCCTGCTCTGGAGCCAGGTTTGGACGCACTAAGGAGCTTGCAGGGGTGGGGGTGGGGGGTGTCTGAGATTCTGTGCGGTTCTGGGGTTGGGGAAGGGGGCCGTCCTCTGTCAGACGAGGGAGGGAGAGGGAGGCAGGAAGGCGAGAAACAGCAGCGGTGGGGTTCCAGGCACCCAGGTTTTCCCAGGGAGTCGCCCTCTCTCCTTCAGCCAGGCTAGAAGGGAGCCCTCTGCTGGGGACACTTCCTGTGCGGTGGAGGGGGCTCTTTGCTCCGGGATCCCCTCGTGGCCCTGAGCCTGGCGGGGCGAGACTGTGCGGCTGCCAGGTTCCCGGTGAAGTAGCGCCCCCCTCCCTGTCTCTGCCTGACAGTGTCCCCTTCCCTTGCAGAGGTGTCCCTCCGGGGGCCGCTGCCCCCCCCCCCAAGGCCGAGGCCCCCAAGCTGCTGGAGGTTCTGAGTGCCCTGGAGAGGAGCAAGTCAGGCCACAGCAGGGAGGAGATATTTATCGTGGCCCCCCGACAATGCGGCGGGAGACTTCACTGACGAGGATTCCGGAGACAAGACGGCCAGCGCGGCCCCCAGCTGCCGGCAGCGTGCTGCACGCCTTGGTCGTGTCCGAGGACAACTCCTGCCGCGAGGACAGAGAGGAGCCGTGCTGCAGTCGACCCGGAGAGGCAGCAAGGCGGGGGCGGAGGCTCAGCACGTCTGGACCAAGAGAGACATCCAGCCGGACTTAGGTAGCTGGACGGCATCAGACCCTCACATGGAGGACCTCAAGAGCCGAGCCCCGTGGGCCTCTTTGAATTGTTCTTTGATGAAGGCGCCATCAGCTTTATTGTGAAGGAACCAATCGCTACGCAGAAGGGCGTCTGCCTGGGGCTCGCTGCCCAGGAGCTGAAGTGCGCGCTGGGCGTCCTGATCCTGAGCGGCTATGTCTCTTACCCCTGCCGCAAGATGTCCTGGGAGACATCTCCCGACTCCCACCATCGTCTCGTGGCCGGTGCCATCAGGAGGGACAGATTCGATCTCATCCTCTTCTCGTACCTGCACTTCGCGGACAACAGCGAGCTGGATGGGAGTGACCGGTTCGCCAAGGTCCACCTGCTTATCGAGCGGATGAACTGTAGCTTCCAGAGACACACGCCGCTGGAGGAGTGCTACAGCTTCGGCCAGTCGCGCCTGCGAGTACTTTGGGCCGCAGGGCAGCCGGCAGCTACCCTCGATGCGGCTGGGCTGCAGGGTCTGGTGCGGGATCACCAGCGGCGGCTACCTGGTGTGGTTCGAGCCCTCGCAGGGCACACTGTTCAGCTGGCCGGACGGTGCCCTGGACCTGGGCGGCAGCATGGTGGTCTGGTTTGTGGACGGTCTGCAGGGCCGCAGCTGCCTGCCTACCACATCTTTTTCGACAAGGTTTTCGCGAGTGTCAGGCTGCTGTCCATTTTGAGGAAAAGGGGCATTAAGGCTGTGGGCACAGGACGGATCGGTGTCCCCTCAAAGGTCCCTGGGAGCTGAGGAGGATGAAGAGGGGCACCTTCGACTACAAAGTGGACAAGCACGAGGAGATCATCCTGTGCCACTGGTGCGACAGCGGCGTATTCAGCCTCTGCTCCAACGCCGTGGGCATCAAGCCCGTGAAGCCAGCCGGGCGGCACTCAGGCGCGGCCGGGGTGCAGCCGCAGGTGCCCCAGCCCTGGCTGGTAAGGCTTCATCGGGACAAGGCGGGCGGCGTGAGCCGGCTGGACCAGAACATGGCTAGGTACAGGGTGAAGATCCGCGGCCTGAAGTGGTACTCAAGCTTCCTGGGCTACATCATGGACGCCGCCCTCAACAACACGTGGCAGCTGCACTGGCTGTGCTGTCTGGACGCGCAGGTGGACTTGCTGGCCTTCCGCAGGTACGTGGCCTGGTGTACCTGGAGAGCAATGCGGACCCTACCTCGCAGGGCCGACGCGGCCGACGGCTGGAGACCGAGAGCCGCTTCAACAGGATCGGGCCCTGGATCATGCACCAGAGCAAGAGGACCCGCTGCCCCCATGCACTCGCAGACCGACACGCGGTGTGAGAAGTGCCAGCAGGGCGTGCGCGCCAAGTGCTTCCAAGAGTACCACACCCGCTGAGCGGGAGGGCCACCACATCCCATGCCGGGTGGAGGGCGAACCCTGCCGCCTGCCCTGGCGTTCAGTCCCCACCCCCACGGTCATCCTGGGTTTGCACGGACGTTGTCGCGCCTCCCCGTGGCCTAAGTTAGTATTTACATTTGGGTGCTGAAGTGTTTACAGGTCTGTGTTTTATCCTGTTATTTATTTAAACTTATTCAAATAAAATTTTGCGTTGGGGTAGATTTGAGTTCTAGTAGGGATGATCGAAGAAGAACTTAGATAACCAGTAAAAGAATTTTACTAGTATGTGCCATGATCTGAGGTGTAGGTGGTCGTGTACTAAATATCACAGTGAGACAGTGAAGGATTCCTTGGAGAGGTCTGGCTCACGTAGTCTAGGGCTATCAGATTCTCCGTATATACACAGCCTGTCCTGTATTTGTTCCGAAAGCTAGAGCGGCAGAGTTATATTTTTTGGTAAAAATATTTTCTTATTTAAATGTATTCATGTGGAATCTATAATAAATATGAGATGGTAGGGAACCATGTTTTCCCCACATAATTTGTGAAAAGAGAAATATATGTCTTGACTGATTTAAATTCCACTGTTAAAATTTTCTGAACTTTAGGGGAACATAGTTTGGTCCCAGCACTCTTAGGAGGCTGAGGCAGGAAGATCACAGATTCAAGCCCAACCTGGCCAACTTAGTGACTTAGCCTGACTTTGTTTAAAAATAAAAAAATAAAAGGGCTGGGGTTGTAATTCGTGTGAAGGTCTCGGTCCAGTTAATCCCAGGACTGCAACAGAAGACAGCAAATGGGAAGCTGTCTTTAAGTTGGAAGGGAATTGGGACAGCCTCCAATTAGGCAGGACAACCTGGGAGGACAAGAACAGAGCTGGAGGGCTCACAGCAGTGATGGCAGAGTTATAACTACAGTAATAACGAGCAGAATGTCACTGACATGAAGATGGACATGGAGACCTGTGAAATAGAGCAGAGAGTCTGGAGACAATCGATTTTGAACAGTGGGGAAATGGTGCTGGAAGACTATATATATATATATATATATATATATATATATATATGTGCTGGAAATGAAATTCAGACCTTGCGCTTGCCAGGAAGCACTATACCGCCGAGCTGTATCCCTGGCCCCTCATTGTGTGTTCATAGGTGAGAGAATGGCGCTGGACCGCTACCTCATACCATATACTGCAGTTAACTAAAAAATGGACCAATGGCTTAAACATAATCACTGAGGTCATAAATCTAAGAATTACGATAATCTCAGAGCAAGTTGAGTGTTTGTTCTCTGGGAAAGAACATTTCAACAGCAGGAAATAAAAGTGGAACCCTGATAAATTCAGCTATAACAAGGCTTGCTGTCAAAAGGCACAGAAATCGGAAATGCGTGTTTCAGGTTAGCACTCTGTAAATCCTCAGTGAATAAAGAACCCATAGATGTAAGTGGCAGGGAAAAATGTGCCGAATTGTATAAGAAGAAATGAGGAAAGGTGAGCAGTGAAGACAGGTCAGGGACTGTGCTGTTGATAGTAAAAGGCAAAGGAAGTAACGGGGTCCGATCCTTGCCTTCAGGCGTGCCTGCTCTGCTAGGTGACAGTGTGGGAGTGGGAGGTGGCAGACTCAGGCGGCACCTGAAGGAGTGTTAATCCACAGTGTTTCTGAAGACAGTTTAATAAATTCTGCCAAAAATCTTAAAGCTGGTTTATATTCATGGAGTAGAGCAGATAGTCAGCCTGTAATGATACAAATCAGTGGATGGAGGCAGTAGATACTCTTTATAGTAGAACTACAGTTAATAAATGTAGAGAGAGGGAAATAAGACACTGCTGATTTGCACACACAGTGTAATTTTGCGGGTGAGGACAGCTGGATGCATTGCACTTGGGCAAAGCTTATCTTCCACAGGGTCTAGCAGTTACAAATGGAGGAATCGGGGAGTATCAGGCAGAGCCACCTGAACCAAGCACTCACGGCTCCCCTGCCACTCTCCCAGTGGGGTGTGCATGCGGGTCCTAGGGTGAGGAAAAGACAAGCCCAGGTCAGGTGTGGCCGCCACACAGTGGGCTCACACCCACGCACTGGAAAAGCCCGAGAGGAGGCTGCCACAGAGAGACCACAGAGGAGATGGAACACGATGTTGGGTGCGGTCCTAGCCCAGACCCACTGCACTGTTCTCAAAAAGTGACAGTCGAAAACTGGTAAGTGTCCGGCGCTGCGTCTGTCCCGCAGAATGAAGCACACGAACACTTTGTCTCTGCAGGCTCCTTTATTGACTGGGCTACAACCTCAATACACGTCCGTCCTTGACGGCTTCCTACGTGTTGTGCGTCGGGCACTTCCTATACTTGGGCTTATATAGCTAATGTTATCCAATCATGGGATTACACGTGGGGACAGGCGATTGGGCGGCAACAAGGAAGCAATCAAACATTACCATATATGGCGGGGACAGTAAGCCGAGCAAGAACCAGGAAGCAGGATGTGTGCGCCATCTTGGGCACACGATGGGCGGGGGAGCAGCGAGGCGGTAGGCGGACGCCATCCTGTGGCTATATTCTCATGGGTAATACGGCAGGCTCCCAACAGGTAAGATGTAAGTTCTGCAGGTTAGTTTACAATATTTTGTGCATGTTACTATCCTGACCGATAATTGTTTTGTGATCATTCAGTATGTTTGTGTCTGTGGAAGATGGGTAGAGGGCGGTAACACATCTCTGGAAGACTTCTGTAACTTTGAAATAATTTAAAATGGACGTTAGAGCTGGATGCAGTGGTGTGTGACTGTTATCCCAGCACTCAGGGGACTGAGACAGGAGGATCAATTTGAGTTTGAAGCCAACATGGACTACAAGTGGGTTCAAGGCTAGATTAGTCTGAAGTATAGTGAGACCCTGCCTCAAAAAGACCAAAACAAAACAACAACAAAACAAACGGAACATTAGAAAAAATGTTCATGCATTTGGTGCTGTTTCCACTTCAGTAGTCTAACTGTGCCCTTAGGTATTTGGCACAGTATGAAGTTTGCTTTTGAGGAAATTCTCTCATTGGGCTCTAGTGAGCCGCTCATCTTCCTGATGTCTGGGAGAAGGACCTGCGGCGATGTGGAAACACCGTAGAGTGGTCAGTCGTGAGTCCTTTGTGGGTTGAAGGAAGTACTGCTGTGACACGGACAGTTTCAGGCTGCAGTGGATGTGGGAGCGGGGGTGGCCTTTCCCAGGTCATGAACTGACTCCAAAGCTCTGTCCAGTGGGAGGTTGACAGTGTCACCGTGCACCCCACCGGCTGTCAAGGCTCAGTGCTAATCTCAAGTGAGCCTGCAGACAGTGAAGGAAACCAGGGGAGCCAGCAAGTGTGCAGACAGGGACCCCTAAACACCGTGTACCCTCTTGCTCACCACAGTTCTGTGGAAATGGCGATGTGGAAATCAAGCTGGTGCCTGCAGGTGGCGTCTCAGCTGTGCTCCTAATAAATCGGGACCAGCTGTGAAGCTTGACTTAAGTACAATATTTAGCAGTGTGCTCACGTCGGGGAACGGTCTCTTGGGGGCTTTGCTCTTGCAGTTCGGGAACTCTATTGACAACGCCCCACCTCTCCGCCCTCGGTCTTGGTTACTAGCATTTTACTTTCTGGTTTTGTTGACTAATTTAGGTGCCTCTTATATGGGGAATCATGGTGTCCTGTTCTTTCTGTGGTTGGCTTATTTCTCTTAGAATAACGCTAAGGTTTGTTCATGTTGTGGTGTAGAACTGGATTTTGTTTTTTAAAAGGGCTGAATAATAGTGTGGTGTGTGTTATACATTTTCTTTCTCCATTTATCCATTCGTGGGCGTGAGTTCTTCCTTTTGCACTTATGAAAATGCTACAGTGGACATGTGTAATGATGATCTCTTCTGGATTTTGTTTTCAATTACTTTTGGATATAGACTCTAAGTGGGGTTGCTAGATCATATGGTAATTCTATTGTAAATGTTTTGAGGTTGGGGATGTGGCTAGTGGCGTCCTGGGTGTGATTCCCACCATGGAAAAGAAAAAAAAAAATTCCTTGAGGCTGGAAGAATTGGAAGTCTATGCTCAGCACAGAGTTTGGGGCCCTTGAAGAAGGCACATGATATCCTGGAGCTGAGGGTTTTAGTGGTGGAAATCTGTGGAATTTGTGAAGCTACAGGAAGTTTGAACTTGGTTTACAGGAGAAAAGCGGTAATCCACCCAGGTAGACAGATGCTGACTTCATTTAGTGGTGAAAGGATGGCCCGTTTTACAGTGAAGGCATAGGCCCTAATTTTTAAAGATGGGTATTCTGTGTTCTCTTTCCCCAGAAGCATTCTTTGAAACCTTTGCATCTGTTTTTCTATCTCAGGTCAGGTTTTTGCCCTTTACCTTATCAACTATCATTTATGGGGTCACAGTGTCTTTAGGGGATTGTGGGTGAGCTGGGCCTGGGAGAAAAGCCAGACCCATCTAGGAATGTAAGCAATCTGGGAGTAAAGAGGAGGATGGATGTGGTAAAATTGGAGCACTTCCTGTCCTAGAGTTGCAGTCTTGTTGACAGGATGATGTTGGAAGCTACGATTTTTCTTGTTCCTTCTTAGCTATTTTATTTCTTCTATTTTACCTCATCCTCCCTCTGTACCCTCAAATTTTAATCTCATCTTAAGGGATGCAGGGGAACTGAAGGCCCACCTTCTTATCCCTGCTCCAGGAGCTGGTTGGGCTGGGACCCTGACCCAGTGATCAAGGCTCATGCTGGGAGATCTGAAGCACCGGAAAGATCTTGTTGATCTGTGAATGATCATAGCCAGGGCTGACACTGCTGCCTTGTTTACTTCCTGGCTGGCTTGCCAAAGGGGTTGTCAAAGGTGGGGTTGAAGAGGGTCCTGAGAGTGGGCATGGAAGGCAATTTGGCACCAACTTGAGAGAAAATGAGCTTTCAGAATGCGTCAGTGGCTGGGCGTGGTGGCACATGCCTGTAAGCCCAGCCTCAGGAGGCTGAGGCAGGAGGATTGCCCAGAACCAAACAGTGCATCGCTGAGAGGCATAAAGAGATTTATTAAGGAGAACTGCAGGCACACATTCAGAACAGAGGGTCCTCGACAGACAACAGCACTTGGCTGGGCGTGGCAGTGTACATCCCTAGTTCTGGCATTCTGAGGCTGAGCCAAGAGGAGTTCCACAAGCTGGAGGCCAGCCTGGAGTACACAGTGAGTTTAAGGCCAGCCTGAATGACACGGGGACACTGTCCTTCTTTTGAGGGATGCCTTCTGTTTCCATAGCAGCGACACCACTCTCTTCCTGTCATTGGTACAGAGCAAAAACAAACAGAAATAAACAGTGGCACTGTGCACACACTGTTCTGTGGTCTGGACAGGGCTGAGCAGCCAGGGCTGGTCCCAGCTCTCCCTGTTGACACTAGCAGCAGCAGCAGCAGCAGCGGCAGCGCTCCTGGTCCCTGGGCACACGGGGTGTCCACTGCCAGGAGCCTGGCACATCTGCACCCCACTTCTCTCTTTCCTCAGGAAA